GTTTGTTTCGCTTGATCATTTCTTTCAACAATCTAATATTGCAGTGATCCTACAAGTTCCCACTTCTGAGGACTGTACCAAACAAGTTGCATATTGCACATGTAACCATGGAAACCTTGCAAGTGTGACATTAGCTTTGCCCCACACACAGGCTGTATTGCAGACTTGTACACACATTGATGTTTCCAGTAAAGAGCTGGCGAAATATTCGTAAGATGAAATTAAGCTACTATTATATTCAGACTTGGTCTGGAACCATAAAACTCTGGGTTAATGCTCTGTCATTTGTGGAAAGAAATGCTTAATAACATGGCTCCCTTAAGATCTCACTCTAAATATAGACCATGGCCCCTACCTGTATTCTGTAACTAGTGAAAATAAGGCCATTAAAGAGGGTTTTTTCCAATGTCTTTAAGGCTCAAGGTTGCCTTCTGTCCCTGAAGAGTCAATGAGCAGCCTGCTATGTCAGTACCACATGTTTTTATTTCAAGAATAGTGTTTCAAGTGGTTAGCACTGCTACCTCACAGCACCAGGACCTGGTTTCAGTTCTACCCTCGGGCAACTATCTGTGTGGAGTTTGCCTATTCTCCCCGTGTCTGCGTGGGTTTCCTCTGGGTACTCTGGTTTCCTCCCACAGTCCGAAGCTGTGCAGACTGGGTGGATTGGCCATGCTAAATTGCCCACAGTATGTCCAGGGATGTGTGGGCTAGGTCATTTAGCCATGGGAAATGCAGGGTTACAGGGATAGGGTAGAGGACTGGGTCTGGGTCTGGGTGGGATGCTGTTTTGGAGGGTCAGTGCAGACTCAATGGGCCAAATGGCCTGCTTCCACACTGTAGGGATTCTGATTCTAAGAAAGAAACAGTCACTCTGCTGGTTCTGTACTATTGCAGTGTGAAAACTCATCAGATTGATATGGAAGTGTCCCTTTACAAGGAACCAAAACATTGGTGTGAAACCCTCAGAGTGAGCATATTGTCAAATGAGTTTATTTGAAACAATCAACTTCATTTCCTTGCAAAGCAGCTTGATCAGGAAGCTATTCTTGATGACAATTGCAAAAATGAATGATCTCCTGTACTGATAACCTCCTTTAGCTAAGGTAACAAAACTAAAAACTAAACAAGTATAAAGGGGCAGTTACCTTGCTAGGATTATACTACAGGCCTCCTAACAGTCAGAGGGAGATAGATAGATATATAGGCAAATCGGAAAATGTGTGAGAGAAACAGGTTTATAGTTGTAGGGGACTTCAGCTTTGCTAATATTAACTGGGATTGTCTTAGTGTGAAAGGTGGGGAATTTTTAAAGTGCATCTAGGAGACCTTTTTTGTCCCAGTACGTAGATAATCCTACTAGCGATGGGACAGTGCTAGACCTAATCGTAGGGAATGAAGCTGGCCAAATGGTTGAAGTTTCAGTGGGTGAGAATTTTGGGAACAGTGACCATAACTTTAAGTTTCAAAGTCCTTATAGAAAGGGATAAGAATAGTGCAGAAGTTAAGTGTCTAAACCGGGGGAAGGCTGACAACAATATCATTAGACAGGATTTGGCAAACATCGACTAGGAGCAGCAACTTGCAGGTAAGTCTACATTCAGAAAGTGAGAGTCTTTTAAAGTGTATAGTGAGAATTCAGAGCCCGTGTGTTCCTTTAAGAGTGAACAGCAAGGGTATCAAGTCCAAGGATGTCAAAAGATACCAAGAGTTTGATAAAGAGAAAGAAGGAAGCATGTCGGTGCAGGCTTGGAGGGCCGAAAGGCCTGTTCCTGTGCTGTAATTTTCTTTTTGATCTTTTATATGTCAGGTATGGCTCATTAAAAACAGGGGAGGCCCTTCAAAAGTATGGAGAATCTAGGAGGTTGATTTTAAAAAAGAAATTAAGAGGGCAAAAAGGATCCATGAAACATCTTTGGCAGATGGGATCAAGGAATACACCAAGGCTTTTTTATATTAATATGTTAGGAGTAAGTGGATTATTAGGGAAAGAATCAGACCTATTAGAGAACAAGCTGTGTGTGAAGTCAGTGGACATGTAAGGTTTTAAACGAATACTTCTCATCGATATTCATTACAGCTGGAGATTTCATTGGGAGTGGTGAGGGTCCAGAGCATGTTAAGATTAATAAGAAGGAGGTATTGGAAGTTTTAATCGGCATACAATTGCATAAGTCCTCAGGACCTGATGAGTTGTATCCCAGGCTGCTGTGGAGGCAAGGGATGAGTTTGCTGGGGCCCTGGCAGAGAGATTTAATACTTCACTGACATGCCAGATGACTGGAGGATAGCTAACGTGGTTCCTTTGTTTAAGAAAGACAGCATGGTGAGCTGAAGGGCCTGTTTCTATGCTGTGTGACTCTATCTATGACTCGAGGCTGCTTGGTTAAGTTTCATATGGCTACATTGGTGTTGAATTTCTGCCAAAATAATATTTCGTGGCAAGGGAATTGTCATCACTAACCCTTTCCGTCACACATGGGAAACATATACTGTGGAAATTGGATGTAGAGCACATTAGTTTCAAATGTACAGAAAGCTAAAGGCTATAGAGTCCACGCACTCCTTTCCTATCTCCAATAGCTTCAAGTGTGGCTTCTTTCAAGGGGTGGCTGACTGAGGAATCATCATCTTACATCTCAGTATAAATCTCGGTGGGAAATGATTTGAGCTAGCTACCAATACTGAAGCCATTTACTCCTAAAGTATTTATAATATCAATTTTTATATGCACTAAAAGTGTCACTTAGATTATTTTTAAATGGGAATTGATGTAAGAAACAAATGGTAACTAGCAAATTAGATTCGTCTGACAAGGCCTCTGCTTTGATCATAACAAATCTGTTTGAACGTGCTTAAATAATCCTGTCTACGTCTAATCATTTTTGTAAGTAACATCAGGTTTGGTTCAAATAAAATTCATGGGAAGGGACTGAGCTATGGTCAGTAACTCTCAATTTTTACTGGGAATCTACCTTGCTTTTGCCAACAGATTTAATGCATAGAGTGCAGTGTGGTATCTCTATCCTTGTGAGCATTCAAATTTGGAACAAGATTATTGGTCTCATTAAGCCAGCTTCATTATTTGATAAGATTATGACTGATCTGACTGTGGACTCCAGTCTCCCATCTCCTGCTCAACTCTCTTGGTAGTCAAAAATCTATCTCACGTGGCCTTAAGTATTCAATGACCCTCCCTCCCTGCTGTCTGAGGAAGAGAATTCCACAGACTTGCAGCCCTCTGCAAGAAAGAATGTTTTCCTCATCTCCATCATAAATGCAAGAGCCCTGATTTTAAGGTGTCCCTTAAATCTCCTCTCTCCTGCAATGAGAAGCAACCTTTCAGTATTTGCCCCAACAACTCCCCTCGGGATCTTCTTCATTTCAAAAACAACATCACCTCCATTAGTAAGGGATCTGCTAGTATTGTATTAATACAATACACGTTTGGTTTTTCTTCAGCATGTTTATTATTGCTTTAGTCCCTTAAGGTGTCTGCATAAGTTTAAGTTTATTTTGAGCATGAGATACTTGCAAAAGAAATACCTTTTTTAACAAGAAATGAAAATGTAGTGAGTCTGTCTCCAAATGAGAGATTTGTTGGTCTGAAGGTCAGGCAGTCTTGAAGGGAAGAGATGAATTTACCGGGGAAAAAAACAGTAAACGTGTAGACAGAGATAGTAGGAACTGCCGATGCTGGAGTCTGAGATAACCAGGTGTAGAGCTGGATGAACAGGGCAGGCCAGGCAGCATCAGAGGAGCAGGAAAGCTGACGTTTCATGTCTAGACCCTTCTTCTATGTGTAGACAGGTTGTGAAAATTTAACCATTACCACTTCACACAAATGGCATTCAGAAGCTCTCTTTTCCACCCCTCCCACTCTCTCCAAGAAAGCCTCTTGACGCTAGGACAATCAAATCTGAGGTTGATTTTCATTTTGTTGGAAAACTAAGGTGGGTGGATGGTGTCGACATTAAGATCAGTCACCAATGTAACTTAATGGCAGGAAGAGGCTTGAGAAACCAAATGGCCATCATCTGTTCCCAGCTCCACAATTCCCAGGGAAAGTAATTTTCATTTCTGCTCTCAATGAAAGGCCCTGATGGTAGCTTCAGCATTCATGAACTATCTCCTGCAATAAGCAAAGTAGCATTGCAGTGAAATATCACGCTCTTTATTCTTGGTTTTATGGTCATCACAGACTGTGGTTCCATCTACATAGAACTCAGAGCAGCTGTGTTTTTCTGGACTAGTTCCAACATTCAATGCCATATATAATGTGAAGGAGAGAATGTCTAAATCCAAAACTCTCCACTTATGAAATCCAGTTGTAAGAAAGAAATATGGCATTCATTAGAACGAATTGATGTTTGTCAGTTTTGTAATTCTTGATTCAAAAATGGGATAGATTTATTGGCATTGAAACTAGGTATGATGTAATTCCCAAAAATATGTTCAAATATTTACATTTCAGGCAGAACTTTAATGGTGTACAACTGTTATTTTTGGGATGAAAGAATGTTTAGGAATCTTGGTTATTCAAGAAGTAAGATCTTCATTCTTGGGTGTGAAAGTTCATTTCTGTTTCTCTCGAGGGCTAAAATGTTGCCACTAGACTGTGTTTTCGAGAGCCTTTATAATGAATGGAGAATTTTCAAGATTTTGCTTAAGATTATTGTCGATTTTCCTCAAACTTCTATTTGGCTGTTTTGAAGTTTACCTAATTATTTGCATCTTTTGCTTTTGAACTCTGTGTTAACATCAATCAGGCTATCAAAACAGAGCCGAGGCCTCCTTATATGAAGCAGTTTTACTGCATTGCTAATTTTGCAGATGAGAAAAATAGTTTGTTCTGTTGGCGCACCACTGAGAGTTCAGCCCAAGGCAGTGGATTTGAAATATGAAAAGTCCAAGTGTGTAACTTTCACAAATTGCTGTGATTCCAGTTGTTGTGTGATTTTTTTTTCCATAACAGCTTTTGTGTTCTCTCACTTTAACTATAGTGCTTGATACAGCGGGTCAAGAGGAGTTCAGTGCTATGAGGGAGCAGTACATGAGGACGGGGGATGGGTTCCTCATCGTCTATTCAGTCACTGACAAGGCCAGCTTTGAACACGTGGACAGGTTTCACCAGCTGATATTGCGGGTCAAAGATAGGTGAGTGTCCACATAGCTGCTGCTGTTTTAAGGGAGCTCATCTTCCTCAAACTCTGGCCAGTTCTCTCTGTCTCTCTTTTTCTCTTTCCCTCTCTTTCTTCCTTTTTTTTTCCCTTCTCTCCTAACATCACTACATGAGAACTACTGCTTAATTTAGAGTTCGCATTTGAAATATTCATTTTTTTTTTGTTCACTGTTCCTTTACTCTATCGTGCTAAATGTTAAACTAATGAGCTCCTCCTTTAATATGTTTTGGATAGTATACATAATCCAATACAGTATATTATATGAGACAACAAGGTGCAGGGCTGGATGAACACAGCAGGCCAAGCAGCATCATAGGAGCAGAGAGGCTGACGTTTCGGGCCTAGACCCTTCATCAGAAAAGGGGGAGGGGAAGGGGGTTTTGAAATAAATAGGGAGAGAGTGGGAGGCGGATAGAAGAGGGATAGAGGAGAGGATAGGTGGAGAGGAAACAAACAGGTCGAAGAGGCGGGGATGGGGCCAGGAAAGGTGAGTGTAGGTAGGGAGTTAGGAAGGGGATAGGTCAGTCCAGGGAGGACGGACAGGTCAAGGGGG